CCCTGATGTTACAAGGAAATGCTGCCATGAGCAACAAAATGCAGGCGCTAGGATTCAAACCTGTGACCATCAATCTGTCTTGGAAGTGTCACACTTGGATCCGATTACAACGGGGGTTAATGGGAAGGAAGGGAAATGCGGAAGGGAGCAGACGCACAAGATGAAGGATGGCAAATGGGAGAAGAAGCGAGGCCACTTCAAGGGGCGCTGCTACAAATGCAATGTGGAGGTTCACGTGGCTGTCAAGTGCTCCAACAAGAAGAAAGACGCAACGCCCGAGGCAGCCTCAAACGTAGCTGAAGGGGACGGGAAGGGCATGGCTGCAACGGGTTGCAACGGCATGGCGGCTGCAGTGGCATGTAACGCGGTTGCTGAGGTGGCGTCAAGCGAGCCGGAAACAAATGAAAAAGCGGCCAGCCTCACAACACGTGCTGTGGGAACCAAGGCAGACTCAACCTGTGGCATAATCACCTTGAGAATGACCATGTTCGTGTGGTAAAGTGAACAGCCACAAGTGGTGGCGTGCTAGGCATCGACGTGGAGAAAGGAGGTGAGGACACGACGAGTGCCTCCTCTCAAGAAGCAAACTCACTCATTAAACCCTTCCGCTGCATGACGAGTGAGGAGGGGAGGTTCTTGGGATCCATGGCTCTGAGCAGAATCAGCCGCCGCCACGTACCGTCATGATGGTCCCGGTGTCGTCCGTGCAAGCGGGCGAGCAATCGCTTGATCGTTCTGTTGATCCTGTAGGCAGCAAGGCAACCATGGCTCCACCTTCTCCCTGTCCATCCTTAGCTGATGGTTTTGCACCTGTGGGTCTAGAGTTTGGTCCCTTAACGGATGAACAAAGTGCAGCTGATGAAGAAAAGGAAGGGGGGACAACGGACCTGCAATCGGTGGCAGCCCATGAAAATAACCCCATACCCACATTTCCGTCCCTCCAGCCCCGTACTCTTCTTTCATTTTATTCTATTAGGTCCAACAAGGGGGTGCCACTTGCACTTTCCCGCATCAGCCATGACGTCCCCGGATGCGGACGATATGGCGTTCCTAGCTGAGGATGACAGCGACACGGACAACGACGACACGAATCAGAGTACATAGACGAGGATGCAGTGGAGGAACGGGCGGGGAGGTGTCATCATTGACCTGGCAGCAGCATTCACCAGACCTGAAGGCAAGGAGTGGTGGGAAGCCATGGGGGACGAGATGGAGAGCCTCAATGAGCAGGATATGAAGAAGTTGGCTATAATTCCCAAGGGTTGCAAGGTAGTCAACGTCAAGTGGTTGCTGAAAAAAAAATGCAACCTGATGGTACTGTGGAGTTTACAAGGCTCAGTTTGTGACAAGTTATTTCAACCAACGCTTCGGCATTGACTACAACGATGCCTTTGCCCGGTTCACAATTACACCACCATCCGAGTGCTTTTGTCAACTGTTGTAGAAATGGACCTAGATTTTGAACAACTTCATGTGAAGAAGAGATTTCTTCGTGGCACCATTGACCATGAGCTCCATAGCACCCTCCTATTGGGATGCCTCATCGGGCACGGGGTTGCTATTCAAGGGGGAATCGAAGAGCTTGACCCTCATGGAGTACGCTGATGCTGATTATGTGTCCACGGGAGGCTACCTCTTCACACTTGACGGAGCTGCCATCTCGTGGCAAGCCAAGAAGCTGCAGAGTGCGACCAAGCTCTCCTCCACCGGGTGCGACCAAGCTCTCCTCCGCTAAGAACAAGCTTGTGGCTGCAGAGGAGGCGGGCAAGGAGGGGCGCATGTTGAGGTTCCTGCTATGAGAGTTTCAAATACTCAAGAAGTGTGTTCTCACCACCTTGTACATGGGCAACATGGCTGCCCTATAGCTTAGCCAGACAAAACGAGTTGCATGGATGCATGAAGTATGTCGACCGTCGCCATATGCGGCTGCTGTGCATGGTGTGTATGAAGAAGTTGGAGTTGCAGCACATCCTTCCGACAGCCAGCACTCTTCTTTACAAAGAAACTCGACAGAGCAGCCTTCGGCCGATGCTGTGAAACAACCGGCTGGTTCAGCGTGCTCCTGACACCAAGTGGGCGTCTTAGAAGGAAATGTTGCTATGAGCAACAAAATGTTACTGAGATTCAAACCCGTGACCTTCGATCTATCCTGAAAGTGTCCTATGACAGATTTGGGATGGTGTCTGCTAAGGCTCTGGTTATGGTGCACGTGAGCTTAGAACAGGAGACCTTACGATTCAAGTGTCCCAGAAGCATCCTTGCAGGACAGTTTGGCAG